AACCAGACTTAAGTGTACCTTATGTCCTACCCCTGGAAATGCTTTTGTTAAGAAAATTAATATCACAGATAAAGAGAGAATACAACTCATTTACTCTACTCAAAGAGCAAATTACTATTGAGCATTTGAGGCATATAGTATGTGAGAAATAGTGTTCAGTCCACTAACAGGTTTAGAATGATAGATTTCCCTTATTATCTTATTAAATAAGCTTATTTTATTAGAATGGAAACTCATAGACACATAATTTGAATTTGATTGCCTGTATTGGTAAGTTGGGCTTTATTGTGTAGTTTTTCCTAAGTGATTAGATTGACCACAGAATAGAAGTAGTCTGAGCAGAACTATTTATAAATGCTGTTTCTTAGAAATATTTTTGGATAAGCGTGCCCATCAATGAGTACAGATGGACATACATTTATCAATCATTTGTTTTAACATGATTTTCCACCTGCCTTATTTTCCAAACAAGATGAGTAGTTTATACTTCAAATAGATTGTGTATGTATTTTCTTAAAGGAAGTCCCTGCTGAAAATTCTATTTAGGTGGTCACTTTCTCTGCTGTAGAATTTAAATATTTTATTACCAAATACAACTTGAAGTCCAGAATGATTGAATGGACTTATTTGATATGTGAATTGCTGGTTATATTCTATACTTCTAAAATCTGTCTTCTTTCTTTTTTTCCTGTTTTCAATATTTTACTTTTTTCTCCTCATTTTCTTATGCATTAAAAAGAATTTCCTTTTCATTGTAGGCATAATGCTATAATATCTCAAGTTTGTCTCAGTAAATTCTGAATCACTTGACATACATGATTTTATTTATTTGTATATATTATACATATTTTATATATTTATATATTTATGCATATACATATATCGTAAAAGTAAACATCGACTAGAGCTGATAAAGGCAATCTCAATGAAGCAAGACTGCTCTGCTGTGGTCTCCAAAGACTATAATTTGAAAGGCAGTTGACTTTATTTGCTGTGGTTGACAACTTCTCCTCAGACTGCTTGAATAAATTTGGGTATTAATATGCTTCCTGTCTATTTAGAGAGAATTACCATCCTCTCTGCCTCAGGAGACTGCTTTATTTCCAGATTTAACTCAGCACAATATGATGGACCCTACCTTGTGAGAAAGATTAGCATGCCTTGATTGAGTGAATATATGTTTAGCATCTTCTGTGAGTTACAAAACACTTAGTCCCGTGATAAGGGAAGGAAGGAGGGAGACATGCAATGGAATTGGGTGGGACTGTGCCATTTTTGCAAGGTTCTTTAAAGAGCACATGTACTGTGGAGAGGCAAACTTAAATTGAGCACGTACAGCCTTTTTCCTCTTCATCTCCACAGTACTTGTTTGAGATAGATGGCATGACCCACATTTAAGAGATGAAGACTGAAGACTAGGTAAATTAAATCACTCCCTTGAAGTGCTCCTGCCAATTGTGTCAATATACCAGTGCCTAACAAACAGGAGGCATCTTGTAAATAGTTTTGAATGTTGAATAAATCTTTCAGGGAGCAATTTTCAACACGTACTAAAAGCCTTGAAGCATTTCATGCTCTTTGAATCATAATTTAATTTCTAGCAATTAATGCTCTTTGAATCATAATTTAATTTCTAGCAAGTATTTGAGATATAGGTAAAGTTTGTGCATATGTATCAGGCCAGGAGGAGGGTAAAGATGGCACAGTGTGTAGAGAGCCATAGAGGAAGCAATTGTCAGTTGTATGGGGTAAAGGAAGAGAATACAGACTTGACTTTCAGCTAGGTTAAGGAGCTGAACAGATTTGGGAATGGTTTACTGAAACCAAGACCTCAAAAGTAAGCAACCATGAAAGAAGGAATAATGGTTCGAGTTTGGACATGCTGAATTTGAGATGACTTTGGGTCATTTAGTTGATGCATTTAGGAATGCACGTGGATCTAAGCCCAGCAACATAGCCTTTTGAAAGATGAAAGACTTAGCCAATGAAGCTATGATGTGGATAATGGTGACTTAGGAAGAGTCTGAAGAAGGTAATGCATAGAACCCTGGAATTCATAGTTTAAGTAAGAGATCGAAGAGAGAAGAAAGTCAGTGAACAGAAGACCTGAGCTAAAAGAGAAGAAAGATTAAGGATTTAGGAAATGGTCGCAGAGTGAAATGGTATATACAAGGGGCTTGTGACGCAGCTGTAATTCATGGCCTCTCCAGAAGTTTTGTCCTTGCTTGTGCTCCATCAAGCACTAAGGACATAGATAGCATCTGCAGAGCTGAGAGGAAGGAATGAATAGTTGACTTGAATCCTGACAAAGGTGATAGGATTTCACTGGGCTTAAAATGAGGATAGGATTGAAAGTGAGGAAGAAAATCTCAACTGACTAAGATTTGTTCAAAATCTTCTGCCTAAAAATAACTTAAGGAAGATTTCTTATTTATAGTCGTTAGCTTTGTAACCTTTATATAGTGAAGACAGCATTTGTTTCCATTGTTTCCTTTGGTTCTCATTTTTTATATTCACTACTAGTTAAACAGTATCCTACAGATGTGGATATGCTGTCACCTAACATCAATTTCAAGGAAATCATGAGAAAAAAGTATTATGGCTTATACAAAGCAAGTTTATTCCAGAAACACAAGTGTGAGTAACTAGGAGATCATATGAGCAGTTTTGCTGCCCAGTCTTAGAAAATGGGATGTCAAGATTGTGCTGTGATGGTTTTGAGAAGTAATTTTGCTTTCTTTGGTATCATCATTCATGAATTAGCCAGTGCCAAGTTTCTTCTAACTGGTTCTGTAATGAGTTTCTCAATGCATGTATTGCTGAGAATCTATATCTTACGCTACCCACATCACATGCTAGGGACCAGCCATCATCTGAGCCAAAGTTAGGAAATAAACTGAACTCAAGGCTGATTCATAGCTCTTAGAAGACATACATTGGTGATGGCTTTTCCAGTAGGAAAAGACAAGTCTTGGTTATATACCCTTTTAATTTTATGGCTGCTAATTATAAAATCCCTTCAGTTTGATGAATTTATGACTATAAAGTTGCACACTCCCAACACCATGTTTTCCTCTAAAATCCTAAATTGTAAGTCTACGAAAAAAATGAGAAAGAGATTTCTTTGTGCCTTCTCACTCTCTACACCTTCCATCCCTTATCCATTCACCTTTTCCAGCCATTAGCCTCTTCCTTCTTCACCTCAATTAACTGGTAATATGGCATAGGTAGTAACTTCATCCAGTGGGAGTACTTTGAGGACAGAAATGATCAGGCATTACCCTGGGAAATGAGCGGTCAAAACCTATCTGTTTAGTAGTCTGCCCAAGATTCTGTCATAGTAGTTATAAAGAAGATGGAGAATAAGAAAAGTCAATGGAAAAACTAGTGTCCAGTGGTAGCCATGTCATTTTCCTGGTTACATGATCTTGTGCATACCTCTTCACCTGCCAATCTCAGTTTTCTAAGTAGTCTTCTTGTTCAATTGAAAGTGCTTTATGTGGCAAAATCTTATACAAATGCTAGACAGTGATGACAGGCTATCTTCTATAAGTATGATGTGAAAGCAAAGAAGATACCAAGATTTCCCTTGAATTTGTTCTTAAATCCCAGATCTTTCCTCTCAATCATGCTCTACTAAATTTCTCCCAAGCTCTAGCTTCTCTACTTCCCACCCATTTGTACTTTGTTTTCTTTCACTCTTCATGTGATGCTAGCCGCAACTGTTAACACAACGTTAAGCCCATCTCCTTTTCTTACTGTGTGGTTGAAGCCTTGAAATCCACTCCTAAAAAAAGAAAAATGGAAAACAGTTTCCTAAGTGCTTCCTCTACTTTGATTGCCTGAGATCTTTTTCCACAGACCACAGACTCTTCCCCAGAGGAGAATATGGGAAGCCTTTGCAGCTGATCCCAGAATAAATTTCATTTCTATTAAGAGCTGTTTGTGGCGAGATGTATCTATCCTGGGAACAAAAAATTAAATGATCATAAAGTCTTTCAAAGACAAAAAGCTATTACTTTAAATGTGATTGAGAATCTTCCACACAATATTAGCAATAGATATATACTTTCTTTGGTTGTCATTGTGCAAGTTGCCAGTTCTCAGTTGATTAGGCACCACTGCTCAGTCTTGGAAAATGAAATATCAAGACTGTAATGCAATAGTTTTGAGATGTGATATTTTTTAACTTCCTTTGGTATCATCATTCCTGAATTAGGCAGTATCAAATTTCTTCTAGCTGATTCCATAATGATTTGATGCCATAAAATGCTTAAAATCCATATTTCATATAATAGAGTCCAACCCTCTGAGCCAAGGTTAAGAAGTAAATCGAGCTTTGAGGCTAAGTCATAATTCTTGGAAGCCATACATTGGTGGTGGATGATGCTTACTTTCGGATGAAAGAAATACATAGAATTATATCTAGGAAATCCTTGTGGCCCCATTTTTCCTTTGATTGTTCACATAAACTTCAGGTCAGAAGGAAATAGATGCACATAAGATCCAGATACGTCTTATTGAACTTCCCTAATGTGTGAACATCTCAGAATTCCAGTTTACCTTGGCAAGCCAAGTCTTAACTCAAGTATACCCCATCTTTTCCAGCCTCACCAGTGAAAATGCTGGCAGAATGGATGAGTGTAGAAAGAAGCACCCAGATTTTTTCCAAATCCTAAAGTCTAGCTGTGATTGTTCATCCTACATGTCAGTCAGACAGAATCAAAAGAAATGTAAGCTATGCTCAGGGGCTCCAAGCCAGCCTAGGAAAAAAAAAAAAATCCATGAGACACTTACAGTTTAAAAAAAAAAGCTGGAAGTGAAGGGGGTGGTTCAGGTGGTACAGCACCATCCTTGAGCAGAAAAGCCAAGTAAGAATTCAAGCCCACATATTGACAATAAACAAAGAAACTCTGCTCCACGACCCCAGAGGCTTTTCCATGCCATGGTTACTTGATTAGCTGAACCAGTTCCTGATGTCCTTGTTCTTCTCTTTCCAGGAAACAGCATTCTTCATTCTGCTGCCGATAGTGTGACCAGCGCAGTACAGAAGGCCAGTCAGGCCTTGAATGAGCGTGGGGAAAGGTTAGGCCGAGCTGAAGAGAAGACAGAAGACTTGAAGAACAGTGCCCAGCAGTTTGCGGAAACTGCCCACAAGGTGGGCCAACAGAGGGCAGGAGTCTCAGCTCTATTTGGCAGGGAGTGGGAGAGAGGGAGGGGCTTGCCAACATACCTTATTTCAGTGTATTTCCTGGAGTGGGAAAAACAAAACCATCTTCTTATTCCCTCTCTTCTTCTGGCAATCTCCATCAGCTACTTAGCAGAGTCACAAACTGTCTTCTTGTACTTGGATTCTGAGGTTATTTTCTTTCCCATGTCCCATACCTGACCTTCTGATCTTGATTTTATTTTAAGAAATATGGACTAGGCTGAGCACCTATAATCTTAGCTACTCGGGAAGCTGCTGTTTGAGGATCACAGAGCAAAGCCACGCTGGGCAGGAAAGTCCATGTGATATGTCCTAGCAGCTCAAGTGGTAGAGCACCAGCTTTGAGCCAAAAAATAAAGGAACAGTGCCTGTGTCCTGAGTTCAAGCCACAGTTCTTGTATGCTTGTACATCCACAGATAGATGATAGATAGATTATTAGATAGATAGATTGATAGATAGATAGAAAGAAAGATACCATCTTTCGTTTCCATACGGAAGTTTAAGGCTCAAGTATCAGGGTTAAGAGAAGAATGAGATCACGTCTCAGAGTATGTCCCTGCTCTTGGCCAAGACTTCAAAGAATCCATGGTAGCATCCATCATCCATTGCTGCTTGCTGCTTACGAAATGATTCATCATAAAGGAACTGCAAGTTTAACCTATCAGGTGCCACTTTGGGGCCCACTAGAATGACAAATACAAATGGCTAACTATACTGTTGTCCATGATGTGGAAACACTAGAATTCTCTTATATTGTATTTGGAATTGTCACTTTCAAAAATGGTTTTGCCAAGCACTGGTGGCTCATGCCTATAATCCTAGCTAAACAGGAGGCTGAGATCTAAGAATTGTGGTTTGAAGCCAGCCTGGGCATGAAAGTCTGTGAAACTCTTATCTCCAATAAACTACTCAGAAAAAGCTGGATGTGGCATTGTGGCTCAGGTGGTAGAGAGCTAGCCTTGAACAAAAGCAGCTCAGGGACAATGCCCAGGCCCAAGGTTCAAGCCCAGCCCAGAACTGGCAAAAAAAAAAATTGCAGTATATATTGAAGAATATTATTTGTGGGTCCATACACTAATACAACTGATTTCACCTATATAGCAAAGGTCTGGTATAAGAAAATTCATAGTATTTTTACTCATAATAATTCTAACTTGGAAACAACCTAAATGTCTCATCAACCAGAGAATGGATAAATTGTGGTATATTCAGATATGATACAAGACAACAAGGCTAGGGCTGGGAAGGTGGCTCAGTGGTAGAGTGCTTGCCTTGCAAGCCTGAGGCCTTGGGTTCAATTCCTCAGCACCATATAAGCAAAAAGAAAAAAGCCGGAAGTGGCGCTGTGGCTCAAGTGGTAGAGCGCCAGCCTTGAGCTGAAGAGCTGAGGGACAGCGCCCAGGCCCAGAGTTCAGGCCCAACGACCGGACCCAAAAAAAAAAAAAAAAAAGACAACAAGGCTAAATTAGATATTACTGAACAAAGGAGGCCAGACATAGAAAACATAGTATGATTCTGTAGTTCAAAACCAGATAAAAGTAATCTGTTATGACTAGGCTCAAAATAATGGTTAACATTGATGTGTATTGACTGGTAAAAGTCAGGAGGTGTCATACAGGGAGGATGAAAATTGCTATGTCTTTACATAATAATGGTCGCATAGGTTTATTAAAATACTCTTAAGCTATAGGGAGGTGGGGGGGGAAGGGAGGGAGGGGCCTGGTGACCTTGAAACTTCTAGAATGTGGTTTCCATCCTATTGTTGTGTATCCGATGCCCTGTCTTCTGTGCCTTTATCACTTATCATACACAAAGCAAGCTCTGAACTCAGAAGTTGACCTCTGAGCGTGGCTGAGTGTGGCCAGACTGTACGGAGCTGCCTCTGAATTCTAACAATGGGCTTTCCCCATGACTGGGCTCTGCACAGAGCCTTTCCATTCATAATCTCGCTGATAACCGCCTTTCAGAAAGGCAAGATAGTGGAAAATTATTGGAAGCCATTATGTAAAGCAACCATACACTGAAAAGAAGAAGGACCCCACTGATCAAGTGATAGAATTTACAGCTGTTATTGTATTTTGAGTCAGTAGGCTATTCTTCTCTGGCCAGTGATTAGAACTTAGGTTTCCAGAAACAACTTCAGTTGATGACTTGTATTATCCTATCATCATCATAAGTTCCTTGGGAGGAGGGGGATTGCTTCAACAGAATGTCCCACCTTCATGGGGCAAACAAGAACCAATCCAAGTATCAAGTAGCTAGGTTGGTCATTCACTCCTGTAGTCCTAGCTACTTGGATGGATCAGAGTACCTGGAAATCCCAGGCAAAAAAAAAAAAAGTTTTTAAGTCCCCATCTCAACAGAAAAACCTGGGCAGGGGGGTGTGTACCTGTCATCCCACCTATAGCAGAAAGTATAAACATGATGGCAGTCCAGGCTGACCTGGGCAAAAAGTGAGCCCCTATCTCAAAAATATCCAGATCAGAAAGAGCTCATGTGATAAAATACCTGCCTAGCAAGTGTGAAATCCCAAATTCAATCCCAGCTGAGAGTGCTGGTGTAATCCTAGCTACTTATGAGGCTGAGACCTGAAGATCATGGTGCAAAGCTAGCTCAGTCAGGAAAGTCTGTGAGAATCTTATCTTTAATTAACCATCAAAAAGTGGTACTGTAGCTCAAGTGGTAACGTGCCACTCGAGTGAAAAAGATAAGAGCAGCAAAATCCTAATTCCAGCCTCAGTATCAGCACAAAATAAAAAGGAAGGAAAGGAAGAAGGAGACAGAGATTGAGGTGGGGGGGAGAAAGAGAGAGATAAAGAGAAAGGAAGGAAAGAAGGAACGAATGAACAAAGGAACAAACGAAGGAAGGAAGGAAGGAAAGAAGGAAGAGAAAATCTCACTCAGGCCCTAATGGGGGCTTCAATTCCAGTGGATGCTTCCTTTCTTGGCTCAGACCTGTCTGGGGTGTGTCATTTCTTCTCTACCATGATGACCCCCCTGCCCTGCTGCCCTATGTGGCCTGTGTGGAGTTCCCCAGAGGAGAATATGCCACCCTAGAGGAGAATATGTCAGATCTGTCTGAAAATGTAGGCAGTCTGCTGGAGGCTGGGAGTTAGATTTCTGTCGCAGAGAGAGTAGACTCATATTCACCATTTCCCTAGTCCCTCCCTCACTTCTGCAGCCTTTGTGTTCCAAGGAAATGATGAGATGGAAATGCTAGAAATCCAGCCCAAGCTTCGTTTCTAACAACAACAATGACAACTTATATGATTGAAATGTTGGGGGAGGGGGAAGGAGAACTTGGAAGAGCTTGTAAAAAGTTGAATTGTGCAAGAGAGGGATAACAGAAATCATTGTATAACTGCTCTCACATCTGGGAATGGTCATAGTAATAAACTTATCTTTCATGCCCTTCCATACAAAACAGATCCATCAACAGTGTGCTGATAAAATTCTGCTAAAATAGGGGTTTGGGTTAATGGCTAAACCATGAACCAGGTTACTGAGGAAGCTGTGAAATCATTCTTCCTAAGGTAGGACAGACAATACCTGGATGTCATGGCATCAACCGCTCCCTCTGGGGGATTCACAAGCACTGACAAGGCCTGGATTCTTGGCTCAACTTGTTGTTCCCCTGATACTGTGGCCAAGTTTTGCTAGATGTCTGGGAAACAATGTGGTATAGTTAACACCTTGTTTTTGAATCTAGCTCTATCATTTACCGTGTTGGTGATAGTGGGCTAGTGCTGAATTTCTCTATTCCCAGTTTCTCATGAGTAACATAGAACGAATTAATAATAGGACCCATCTTCTAGAATGTGGAGAAAAGTGATTTGTTTCTGCTGACCCTGTTCCCCTGCTGCACCTTACTGAGCACTGTAATTGTGACTGGTGACTAAGGACTCTCAGTACAGTGACAAGAAGGAAGACAGGGAAGGAATAGAGGTGAAGATTGGGTATTTTCCAGGCTCAAAGGCAAGGAGGCAGGAGGGCCTTGTAGTAAAGCTGATACCAGCCTGCAAACATTTATATTATGTGAGTAAGTCAGGCTCAGAGTGACAAAAGAAATGTTGAATGTTTCCTCCCATATGTGGAAATTAGATCTAAATTATAAATATGTTTGTAAGCCATTTGTACACACACACATTTTTAAATGTATTCACTAAATTCGGTATATGCAGGGGAGAGCCTAGTGGTGTGATTCCCCTAACAAATAGCAGGAAGCTGGAATATATGGGGTCTTTTTCTTTTGGGGAAGGAGGAGGGATTGAGGTCAAAGGAAGAGGGAGCAGAAGAATAGAGAGAAGACAGATGGGGAAATGCAGTCATAATACTTAATGTGCATATGAGAAAATGGAACCAAGTAAATTGGAAAAAATGAGTCGGTTTGGGAGAGAGAATAATGAAAGGGGGGACATAGCTCAAGATGCATTGTACTCACAAATTGACATGTTGGATTTGAACAACTACTTTAAAATAATTTTTAAGTTGATAAACCTAAACAGAGGACCTCCCTTGAAACAGGATCTGTCAGAGCAGAAATTGATGGACCACCCTCATCCAGGGACCACTGCGTTTATTGAGAAGGAGGATCCGGGCCAGGCATCTAGCCACTCTTCGTGGAGAAGGCTGAATCAAGAGAGGGATTAGACAGCCTTTGACTTGATTTCCACTCTGGTAGAATCTGTTGCTGTGTGAGGGAGTGTGAGTCAGACTTCAGTTTTCTAAAACTGGAGTGTACGTCCTGACATGACCCATATTGGTAGCCCTTCTAAGGAGCATTTTGACCTAGTTAGGTTAGGTGTGGCCATTTTCCTAGGAGCTAGAATCCCTTGTTTGGGCACTGTGACACAGGCTCACTCGCACAAAGATGTCATTCACTGGCTAGGTCCCAGCCAGGCCTACTGAGGAGGGGAGATAGAATGCAGACCTCCCACCCCGCAGATGTATGGCTTTATTGACTCATAAAGAGTGGGCAGCGCTGAGCAGAGACCAGAAGTTCCAGGTGACAGTCTCTGCAAACTCCAGCTTGAATAAGGACACCCAACTGCAGATAGAAAGTTTGGCACCCCTTCTGAGGTAGCCATAGGAAAGCATCTTTGACCTTGTAACCTTTCCCAGGACCCCTCCTAACCCAGGTAGGAGAGTGAGTTGGATCACTTTTGCACAACTCCTCAGGATAAGTGGGCACTTGTGCCCTGCTGAACAGATGGAAAATGATCCTTCTCCCTCCTCACCACCACCCCAGCCCTCCCCGCAGCTCCAATTAGCCTGGCTTGTACAAGCGGAGAGCTGGAGGCTTGGCCCAGGCCCAGCCATTAGGAAAGCACAGCTCTACCATAGAAGCAGCCCTGTGTTCTTTCCCCTACCCCAAAAAGCACAATGTTGCCATGTGTGCCTGGCTTTGACAACCCACATGGGCAATGAGTCAGCAGGCAAACACATTACCCACACCTTGACATCCTCAGCTGACATTTGTCACTGAAAAGAACACGGAGCTGCCCTGTTTGTGGGGGAAGGAAAGGTGAGTAGCGAGAGAGTGATGTGGGCCCTTTCTCTTTATCTCTTGCTTCTACAAATAGCTATTTCCCTTAGGACTCTAGGCCAGAAGAGAAGGGTATCAGACAGCCCCCAGGCTCTAAGTTCAAGCCCTAGCACTAGCACATAATAAAAGGGAGGATTTCCCTAATACTGGTAACCATTTTTATTATCATTACTTAGGTCAGATAGTTTTGAGAGATAGAAAAGCCTTTCTGTGAGATATTAAGAAATCAAAAGGAAAAATTTTAATTCCTGTAGGAATTTAAATTAACCCACAGAGTTGGAGAAATTATTATAGACCTAAGAGGAAGCCAAGGCATGAGAGAGCCATGACTAACAAGTTCAAGGTCATACAATAAATCTATAGCAGCAAGTATGCTGATCCTGTGCAGTCCAATACTCTTTCTGTTTTCCCATCCTACCTTCTATTTCTTAAGCTCTGAATTCCAAGGAACTGTTTAAAACCTACACTTACAGAACTTCCTACAAAAAGCTCTCTCTTAGGCCTTTAGGGCTACTGGAACAAAATGTGATCAGCTTTAATTTTTATAAATTATATAAATGTATTCATTGATTTGGAAATTTATAAACCATAGAAATTGTTTGAAATTTATTTCTCACAATTCTGGAGTTAGAAAGTTCAAGATCAAGTGCTGGAAAATTCTGTGGTTACTGAGGGCCTGTTTCCCAAGTCACAGACGGCGATCTCTCAGGGTCCTCCCATCGTGGAAAGTGGACAAGTTCTCACTCCCTCGATCTTCATAAGGTCATTAATTATATTCACAAAGACTTCACTCTGAGGATCTAATCTCTACCCAAAGACCCCACCTTCCTATTACCATCTCACTGGAGGGTTAATTATCAACATGGGAAATTTGGAAAGACACAACCTTCATACCATAATATGTCAAGTAATAGATCATCCCATCCACTGTATTTCCACAAAGCATAGCTGGTCACAAGCTGGAGCTCCTCTTAGTTTCACTCTAGGTGTGCTGCCATAAGAACTAGGGTTTGAGTTGAATCGCAGCACAGTTGCTGCTGAAGATGAGTAGCTGCAGGGAATTGGCGTGAGCCCATTAATGGGAAGTTAACAGCTCAGTGAATAGCAGGACAGAGGCACAGATCAAATATTTATGGTTGGTATTCATTATGTACAATGCTTAACAGCTCTGTGTTTGTTTGATGGTCCTCATTGCTAAATAATGCATGGAACTCTGGTCAGAGCTGGAAGAGGAGGCCGGACAGAAAAGGGGCTCAGAGTCTGGCCACCAAGTGGGGCCGATCTGAGGGTTCTACACTAGATTCTATTGACCACATATCCTGTCTGAAGTCAGAAGTTAACTAACTTCCTCCAGACCTTAGCCAACAACAGAAACAAAACCCCAAGCACTTAGTGTGGTAACCCATGCATACTCACAACTGTATAAACTGACAAGACAACTTTAGTATCACCGTGACAGGTAAGCCTATGGAGGTCTTCACTCATATGGTCAGACAGGGGTACCTGGGACTGTTTCTGATGAGGTTTCCCAGGCAGAAATTAACTTCCCAATAAAGGCTAGGTCTACTCCTGCCTCTCATATGCAGAAGTGGTACTGTTTCTCCTAGAGGACGGTCTAAGGTTGGGAGACAAATGTATGATTGCACTAGGTTTTACTGGAAGAATGGACTATTGACATCTTCTAGGATGACACAGACCCCCAGTATCCACTGGGGAAATGAGTGGGAGCTCCTGCCAGTTCTAAGAGGCAGAAAACCTGCTCATGATGCAGAGGACAGGGCTTTCTATACATCTTCTGGCTATAGGGCATTATCTCTTCTTTACCCAGAGGAACTCAGAGCCACAGAACTTGATGCCTAGTCACTTCCTGCCCTAAGTACAGGAATTAATCCTTCATGTCAGACTCTGAACACATAAATGATGATTCAGACTTTGTTCTGCCTTGTATGTGTTCCTTGAAACAAAGATCTGGATAAGACTTGTTTTGTTGTTGTTGTTTTCATTTTTGCAATATTAGGGATTGAACTCAGGACCTAGTGCTCCACACTTGGGCCATACCTCCAGTTCTTTTGCTATTTTTTAGTTTGCTTTTCAGATAGGGTCTCATGGTAACTTTATCAAGGCTGACCTCAAACCACAATCCTCCTATCTCTGCCTCCTGAGTAGCTGGGTCCACAAACATGTTCCACTATACCTAGCTAAAGATTTGATATGATATATGCTCTGTGCCTACCTGTTTATTTCCTTAAGCACATCAGCATAAGCTCCAACTGAGGAAACTACTGAATGATGCAGTGATATTTGGGTTTCCCATTTATAGAGATCCAACATTTCAATAGACTACATTTCTCAAATACCAATAAAAAAAAGTAGTAAATCCAGGTTTGTATTTAGTCTATCATTCAGTCCTAGCTCATAACATAATTTAATTTTTACTACCTTTGGTTTGGGTTAAATGTACAGGATATTGAATAGGTGTTTTCTGATTGAGTCTGCATGTTGTTGAGGTTTTTATACAATTAATGAATTGTCAGTAAATCCTTATATTTAAGAATGTGCCCTAGGGAAAGCCACTTGTTCTGTGTGATGGATTTTCCAGTTAGGATTTTCAGTGGACATATCCACCAACAGAATTAATAAAAGCAAGAATAACCGGCAAAATGCCCAGGGAGCTAGTTGGGAAAGTGTTGCAAGATTGACTGAGTGTTAACTGGTATTACCTGGTAAGTGATCAGTGCTCAGTAGACTCTTACCTTTATAAAAGTAAGGATGGAGAAGCAAATAAGAGCTTATAATAAGGTCTCCCTTTTCTTGTCCCCCCCTTTCTCTCTCTCTTTAGCTGGCCATGAAGCACAAATGTTGAGAAACTGCCTCCTGGTGACCCTCTTAGGAGAAACAGAAGGGTTTGTTCAGCAGTTTTTACAAGAATTCTGGACCTCCACTTGCTTCTTTTTTCCACATATGGACATTGACGATTTTTTTGGTTGTTGTTGTTTTTCATTTCAGATGTTAATATGAATGAACAAGTGTTGTGTTTATACATTTCACTAATAATCTTGCTACAATAGCATCAGGCTTCATTTGGATTATTTTTTTTCCTCCATTGCGTGTCTGTGAGTGAATGTATCTTCCTTTTTAAGAGATTTTTCTTTTTGTAGTTTAAATATGAAATTTGGACCAAATGATAAACTAAGATGGGTCTAAACTGCCAACATGTGTTTTTTTTCCTCTCTGATATAAGCAAGAAGATAGCTTCGTGTGGTGACATCAGATGTTATATTTACAGAACGAAAATAAAGGCCAAGCAGAGACTGGATTCCCTCATTCTCCCTAGTACTCTTAATTTGAAGAGTAGAATTTAAATTCTACTCTAAATTCTGAGACATAAGTCTGTATCGTGGAAAACACTAGGGTTTATCAGAGGAAATAGAAGTCTTAGAAGATTTTGCTCTTTGCATATTAATGTTTGCATGAAGCATCACCAGCATTCAAAGAAACAAATCAGAAACACAAATAGAAATCTACTTTCTGAGCTGCAGCTTAAATATGTCTGCTATTTCTTTCCAGGCTAATTACTTAGAATTACCATATGAAGGATAAAAATTTGAGAGTAAAGGCCTAAGGAAAAGCTTACTTTAAAAGTCTGTCTCTTCATGATGTTTTTCTCTTTTTTGTCATTGTCTCAAATTACAGAGGTTGAAAAGAACTTCAATTTTTGTCCAAAATTGATTATCTAGGAACTGAAGGTATGACTCAAGTGGTAGATAACTAAGCCAAGTAAGCATGAGGCCCTGAGTTCAAGACCCAGTACTGGTACCAAAAGAAAAAAAAACATTAAAAAAATCCAGATAAAAGGTCTCTGTAAATGCTAATGTGAAAAGATGCTACACTCAAAATCTTTTTCATCTTTACAAGCTTCTACCCATCCTAGGGTACAGAAAAGGCCTTTAGTTTCTGGGTATCTGGTTTTTAGAGGTTTGGATGTTCTTGTTGTTATCTATTTATTTAATGTAATTTAACTTATATTTCTTGACTGTGTATCATAGCAATTGTAACCTGCCTGGCCTGACCTAACACTTCAGTCACAAAGCTTTACATTGGTGTCAGATTGAATAGAAATAGCCATATTTTTCTGTCACATTTTTCTTTTCTTTCTTCTTTTCTTGTGTGTATGTGGGGGGAAAGGGGAGAATTGAACTCTAGGCCTGGGTGCTACCTCTGAGCTTTTGTGCTCAAGGCTAGCACTCTACCATTTGAGACACAGTTCCAATTCTAACATTTTTTTTTTTTGCTATTTAACTGGAGATAAAGTCTCAACAGACTTTCCTTCCAGGCTGGCTTCAAACTACAATCTTCAGATCTCAGCCTCCTGAGTAGTTAGGATTACAGACATGAGCGACTTACATCTGGCTAGTCATACACTGTTCCAATGCATGTTGTTCTTGAGTCAGGGGCTGGAGTTTTTGTTTCCTAGAAGGTTAAAATGCTAAACATAGAAGTGAGGGTACAGCTCTAGAGTGCCAGCCTTAAGCAGATAAGCATGTGAGACCCTGAGTGCAAGCCCCAGTACTGGCACAAAAAAATATTAAACCTAAAATGATGTGCTTGCTGCTCATGAAACTAAGAGGCAAGCTACACATCCCAGAAGCGATGTCAGCCCTGACTGCCATGCATTGATTTCCAGGATGCTTCAGTGTTCAAGACTCCTTCTTGTTCTCTTTGTCCATTGAGCCAATTAGGTCTGTATTGTAGCCTCTTATATAGCAGTATAAGATGACTTGGGGATTATTAATTCTAATTTAAACAGCTTAAGTTCTTCTGATAATGTAGCCACTGGGAGGGAGATAGGTTATCAGTGGGAAAATAAAAATCACAGACAGTACATGTCAAAAGAGAGATAGGATTTGCTGGAGACAAATGTCTCAGTGTTCTTAAAGCGATGATCCAATTGAAGGAAACTATAAAAAAATACGAAGTGTAGATGTTTACCATAATATCTTATTCTTTTCTTTTGGTGTCTTAACAATTTAGAGAAGCAATGACTATACCATTTGGTGAGTACCATTAGAAGTATATGTTTCCTTAAAAAACAAAACTCAAACAGGTATCATTTCCAGACTTTAGTGAGAAACCACGCAGACACATATGCGCACCACATGCACAAGGACCTGTGTGTCCATCTTTCCAGATTGAATTCTGGCTTCAGAGGCCAATTGTTGGAATAAACAATTGAAAGAGTAAGCCTAAAACCCCATGACAATCAGTTAAACTCAAGAATTGGTGGCAGGCTATGTAACAACCGTGTTTGGGAAGCTGCATCTCAAGTATTGAACATGAGATTATAAGAAAACCATGAAACCCGAGACTGGCCCTCCTTGCAGAATTCTGAGAGGTACTGCTCATCAATGTAAGTAGTCCACAGCCTGTCCCTTCTTACTATTTCTCTTTCTAGACCTAAGACTTGTTGGAAATAGTTGGAATGAAAGGAAAGCCCATATGAAATTGTATTAATAGCTTCCTGTTTTTTATTAGTTTTCAGGCATGGTAATGCCCTTGACCTCTATCATGTCTGATTTGACTACTGCCCAACACATACGCCATGCCTCTTGCAGAAGCAAACCCAATGATACATAGAAAGTTCTTTGCTATTCTTTCATAGAAGGTGCTGAAATACAAAATATTCACACAATCTAAACTAGAAGAAACTGCTAAAAAAAAATTACATCATTTGGGACCAATTCATTGAGCTTATTAGAAGACATTTCATTTGTTCTATTTCTGCACTTCACTATGAGTTTTGGAGATAACTATATTTCTGTGAAAGACTTTTCAGATTGTATTGGCAATATATTAGGAAAAGAAACGTTCCAGTGTTCCTCCTTCTTCCTGGATCATAGCTGTAGTGTTCTTCACTAGTGTTATTAGATATCTGTGTACAGGAAGGATGCAATCATTATTCAGGTTACTATTTCATTTTAAAGAATGTATTTGTAAAATGTAACAAGATGAGTAGTTAACTTTTTTTAAGCTCTGAAAAAAATGTAAAATTCTGTGTTAGACTTAAAATGATAGTGAAATCTGTCTAAATATTGTGGCTAGTAAAAGTTGTGCATTTATGTAAAACTCTTTACAGAATGCCCTAAAAAAAGGGATATTCGAGGTAGGTTTCACTCTTTAATTTTCAGAATTGTAACGCCGCTAATGTCTGCTGTACAATTATTAATTCTTTAGAAGTGCTCTAAGATATCAAACATCATTTCTGTTTGAGTCAGAGACAAGTAACACTGCTTTGTTGACTCACTATTACAGCAAACTCTGATTTTGTCATTAAATATTTTAACTCTGTGGTGACAGTTGGTTTCTCTCAGTTATTTGTAGAACCTACAAAAACACTATCAAGCATGTACACATTACATTTTTGCTACAAATGGAAAACGCTGCCTGCAGAAGATGTCTAGACCACAATGCACATGATGACAATGTTTTATTAAAACAGTGGAAATGGAAAAATTAGATGTATGAAAGGCTAGAAAAATAACCGTGGTTTGCACAATGGGAATCTTTCCAGCAAGAATTACCTGTTTTCCCCTTTTTTGTTGTGTTAAATAATTAAGCTAAAGTTACTGATATGCTCGACTCTATAATTGTGAGAGCTGTGTCCTTGTCCCCCACACCACTTTCATACTCTTAATTTGGAGAGAAGGTAGGACTGTCTTATGTCCATTTGTGTTATGGAAAAGCAAATGCTGCACCCTTTGCTACCATATTTGCCTTGGAGGGGAGTGGCTTGGGAGACTGCCTTGGTATAACAGCCAATTCCGGGTTGGCATGGATACTGAACTAAACAGACTTCCTGGGAGGTCTGTAAGGGAGAAGGAAAAGACTGTAGTCTGCACTCATCAGAGAAAAAAAATGAGATAAGAGTTTGGCTAGATGAGGACCTTGACTTAATTGTGCTTTTGAAAGTAGCTGTTCAACAAGTGCCTTTACATCTGTAATCTTAGCTAGGAGAGGCAGAGATCCAGAAGATCATAGTTCAAGGCCAGCCTGGGTAAAAAGATTCCATATCAACCAATGAAAGGTTTGGCATGATAGTGGACACTTGTCATCCCAACTACATGGAAAGTGAAAATAGGAGGCTATGCAGGACAAAAACATGAGACTCTATTTAGAAAATGACAGGCAAAGGCCCTGCTCAGGCATGGCTCAAGTGGTAGAGCACCTGCTTAGCAAGCATAAGGCCTTGGATTTAATTTTTTAAAAACTAGTACTTCAAAAATTAAAAAAAACAAACAGTTCCTGCTCTTGTGAACTACATTGTAAGCCAATTATCTCACAAAGATGATCATTTTCTTAATAAGTTTTTTTACTTGTTAACATAGCATTTTATCCCTATTATCAATGAAAACATGCTTGAGACAAATTATTGACATAAGTGTCTAAGCAGTTTAGGAAAAGAACTAGGAAAAAGAAGGATAAAAAGAAATAATAATATATTTCAGCATGAATTACAAATGGCTATATAGAATTTCTATCAATACTCACTCTGTGAGCCTCTCTCCCACCTTGCCTGGGTATAACAAACAAGCTTGCTTCATGATACCTTCTTGCCCATATGAATATGGGTAGATGAGAGCTAGTACTTCCTAGCAATCAGTGAAACTGCAAAAGCCTTAGGGCCCCTATTCTAGCAAGAAAAAAAGACATAAGAGACATGGAAAAAGAATCCACACCAGCCAGTCCCACTTAATGTCCAAAAGTGAGCACCCTGACAGTCCTCATCAATAAGATAACACAAAGGATAGATGTCCTTTTTGGAAATGAAGAAATTATATCTGCTGCCTTTCTGTAACTAACTATAAAAAGAAAGAAAGGTTGTTTTGGCTTTTAGTTTTGGAAATTTCTGTCCATGACCGGACAGACTCATCGCTTTGAGGCCTCAGTGTGGAGATAGTACCACGGAGTGGAAGCTTCTCATCATATCAAACTTTTCTCAGCTCATGGCCACAAAGTGGAAAATAGAGAAAAAGACTGAGATCCCACCAGCTCCTTCAAAGGCCACACCCCTAGACCCTGAAGA